CTCCCAAGGGACTTTCCCAACCAGGGTCCTGAAGAGGACCTGTAAGAATACGTAAAGCTGTATCACACACTTAAGTCTGTAAACGATCACTTGTAAGCCATCCAAGGATTTTCAAAAGGGCAATACAAGTTAGAAAAGAAACTGGAAACTTCTTCCAGCTTAACAGGTTCTCTTCTTATTTAATTGGATAGAGATTTTCAGCCTGGAGCATTGGAGGCAGTCCAAGGTTACTGCAGGAAGCCACACAGTTAAGGTCAGCCCTACAATCCAAGGCTGCCCAGAGGAACTCTTCCAACAGAAAGATTTCAGAGACTAAGAAAATTTGAAATTGTCCAAATTAAGCCTTAAGACAATTATAAATAGGGGTTTTAAAGAAATAGGAAGATCTTGATGACAACAGCAGTGAGACTATACAATCTTGTAATTTTGGACAGTGAAAACTGGATACACTTGGTTAGGTTTTAGCACTTCTAGTCAAGGATAAAAAAAAGTGACTGAACACAGTTTAGTTAATTTATCATATAAAATATTCTGTAACACCCAAACAATTTTCAAACAGATCTTAAAGCAAATATATACTATTAATTTTAAGAAAATATAGTGACTTCAAGATAAAAATTTGCAGACTAAATTTCAAAAGACATTAGAAAACAAAAGCTTAAACAATGCACTTATATATTATTCTTATTACCCTGAGAAGGTGGAAAAATTTATAGAAAAAATACAGTTAAAATATTGCATTTACTTGACTGGCAAATACCAACTAAAATAATCTGGGTTTTCATTAAAAAGGCTAAGAACATCACATCCATCTAAGACTATAGCCCCGTTATTGCTGAAGGCTATAGGAAAAATTAAACTGACTTGAATGGTACCTCGAAATAGCTTAGGTGATAGTAATATCATCCAGTTACTTTGATAAGATTATATTCTTTATCAAAATCATCTTAGTCAATGGTCTTAAGGGTCTTTTCCAATCTAAATGATTCTATGATTCTATTCTAAAACTTTGCAGTTGATAAGCGAACAAAAAAAACCTGGCTTTTTCATTATTTCAGGCAGAAATGCATTTTAATTCTAAATTTTATAGATTTGTTCTATTCTGCCTGGGGATCACCCATATCTGTACCAATTTATTTTACCTTGTGTTAGTGGCTCAGACACAACTCATCTACATAACCTAAGGCTTTCCCATTTTTTCATCTAACCCCTGTTGTCTGACCAAGTGTTCTTCTCCCATTACTAGTATGACATAAAAAAGACTATCCTCATCCTCCTCATCTGAGATTTTACCTCACATCTGGCATCAACTAAGTAGCACACAGTCAGTTTTCCTGAGCTAGCTAGTAACACCTTAATCAAAATTAATTCAATCATGCTATGTTTGAGCCTTAAATTTTAATTACTATTGAAAAGTCAAATGTTCACAGCTCGCAATATGATAATGAAACCCTGCCTGTGACTCAAGGCTGGCAAAACCAGTTCTGAGCTCCTGGAGTCCATCTTTCCAACGCTGCTGCTGCCGAAGTAGATCAATATTCATGAGAGATATAACCTGTTAAAAGAATTTTAAAGGATAATAAACATATTCATCATGACATAAATGAAAGAAAAGGTAAAGTAAGCTGTAAGAGACATGATTTCAATTTCACCTGGAAAATATACCTTTTCAATGAAGTTTGTATGCCACTTTCTTAGTTTTCTATTTTCAGTGGAAAGCCGTTCAGCAGCAGCCTGGAGTTTTTGGATATAAGCTTCCAATTCTCTAGGATTATCCCATGTTATTTGAGCTTTTCCTCCAGGACCAGATTTTGAATGCTTGAAAAACATACAACTTTTGTAAGGTTTAATGACAAACATAATCTACCAGCTAGCATACAGGAAGTGATAATATGAGAAAGACAGTTTTACTCTTAGTAAAAAATAGAGGACCTCCCTCTCACTACTGCACTAGAGACATAATAATATGGCAAATCACAGACATGTGGGCATATTGTTATAGCTACATCAATGCACTGGGGAAGGATTAATGCCAGACTCTTAACAGAGCTTGAAATAAATCCACTGATGTTGAGACTCCTGTCCCACACACGCAAGCAGACATCTTAAGATGAGAGGACACCTTAAACTCCTCCCTTCCTCTTTGCTCTGCACAGACCAAAAACCAAAATGTCACACTAATAACTGCTAACAGACTTCAAGTGCTTCTCATGAAAAATTTTTTTTAAATTACACTGTAAAATTCCACTGACTCATAAGCAGCTTTTTCTCTGGGCTTTTTATCAAGATTCTGGGGGTTTTATGCATTTTGCTAAGTTTACAGTAGAAAATCAGAAGAAAAAAAGCATCTGAAGTTCCACAACTGGACCTATTCCTAAAAGATGTAGGGCAGGAATCACATCAAATATGAGAATATGTTGTGCCTTTGAACACTTCTGCACCACCACTGTCTTAGGGTCTGCACACTAAAGGAATCTGTGGCATAATCTGCAGCCAGCCCAAGAAAAATTTAAGAGACATTTTGGGAACTTTCTCCAGGACATTTCTGAACCTACAGCTTGGTCTGGACTCTCCACCATTTTATATGAACTAACCCCAAACCCAGCATCCCTTCTACTTTCAGTCCCATTCTTACACTCTGTCTTGCAAAACAGTTCTCAGGAGCAAGTTTTCAATATTTTCCGTAATGCCTGCTCTGGAGACATTATTCTCTTGCCCAATACAGAGTTTATGGTCACGTTATAATTCTCCAGCCATTCTCACATTCTAAGAGTGTCGGAAGAAGGTGGAGTCCTTCAAACTGATCAAAACTAGGAAACTGAAATTCATGATATACAACACATTTCTCCAGACATAAAATACAGATAAGGTGTTAAAAAAATGTAGATTGTAGTGTAATTTTTAAGTTCGTATTGTCCCTTCAAAGCAGAAAAATAAAAATAATTAAGTAAATTCCTCCAAATAGATCCGAATTCCCTAAAAGAATCTAAAACTTCTTTAAGTATAGTGAACTTCCCAGCAATTATAAAAAAAAAACCCCTCTTCTCAGAGCAACTATATTATGTCTGAACACCAACCCCCTGTAACAAACTGCATGCATGAGTCAGTAATCAGGTAGATCCACAGACTCTTTATTCTTAATCTAAACCAAAAACTATCCACTTTCAACCTGCCCAAAACTTGAATTAGAAATATTTAAGAGAATTACAAAATCCACAGAGATTTAATAACAGTCTGTCCTGGTTTCAGCTGGGATAGAGTTAATTTTCTTCCTAGTAGCTAGCATAGTGCTGTGGTTTGGATTTAGGATGAGAAGAACGTTGATAACACACTGATGGTTTTAGTTGTTGCTAAGTACTGCTCATGCTCGTCAAGGACTTTTCAGCTGCCCATGCTCTGCCAGGTGCACAAGAAACTGGGAGGGGGCACAGCCAGAAGAGTTGATCCAAACTGACCAAAGGGCTATTCCATACCACATGACGTCATGCTCAGTATATAAACTGGGGGGAGCTGGCTGGGGGGCAGCGATCACTACTCAGGAACTGTCTGGGTATCGGTCGTCGGGTGGTGAGCAATTGCATTGTGCATCACTTGCTTTGTATATTATTATTACTGTTATTATGACACTGTTGTTGTTACTACTACTATTTTACTTTATTTTATTTCAATTATTAAACTGTTGTTATCTCAACCCAGGAGTGTTTCTCACTCTTACTCCTCCGATTCTCTCCCCCATCCCATCAGGGCAGGGGGAGTGAGCGAGTGCATGGTGCTTATTTGCTGGCTGGGGTTAAACCACAATACAGTCATAGAATCATAGAATCATTTAGGTTGGAAAAGACCTTTAAGATCATCCAGTCCAACCATTAACCTAACAGAAAACAGTGAAACCATTTCTTAATAATAATTTACCTCCAGAATAAAGTATAGGCCATTTTTACTAAAATAGACCAAAATAATATTGTTTAGAAGTGTTAAAACAGGAGTTACATTCCCAGCTATTAAGAAATTGACGACATTATGGTTCATGTGTAAATTCAAACACTAAAAATAATTCCTGAGAGACCATATTACACTAATATTCGGTGGATAAGGAATTGGATGGATGGTCGCATCCAGAGGGTCATGGTCAATGGCTCAATATCCACATGGAGACCTGTGACAACTGGTGTCCCTCAGGGGTCCGTACTGGGACCGGTGCTATTTAACATCTTCATCAATGACACAGACAGTGGGATCGAGTGCACCCTCAGCAAGTTTGCAGATGACACCAAGCTGAGTGGTGTGGTTGACACGCCAGGAGGACGAGATGTCATCCAAAGGGACCTGGACAAGCTGGAGAGGTGGGCCTCTGTGAACCTCATGAGGTTCAACAAGGCCAAGGGCAAGGTCCTGCACCTGGGACAGGGCAACCCCCAATATCAATACAGGCTGGGGGATGAAGGGATTGAGAGCAGCCCTGCAAGAGAAAGATTTGGGGGTACTGGTAGATGAAAAGCTGCACGTGAGCCAACAATGTGTGCTTGCAGCCCAGAAAGCCAACTACATCCTGGGCTGCATCAAAAGCAGCGTGGCCAGCAGGTCGAGGGAGGGGATTCTGCCCCTCTACTCTGCTCTGGTGAGACCCCACCTGCAGTGCTGCGTCCAGCTCTGGGGCCCTCAGCACAAGAAGGACATGGACCTGCTGGAGCGGGTCCAGAGGAGGGCCACGAAAATGATCCGAGGGCTGGAGCACCTCTCCTATGAGGACAGGCTGAGAGAGTTGGGGTTGTTCAGCCTGGAGAAGAGAAGGCTGCGAGGAGACCTTATTGCCGCCTTTCAGTACTTAAAGGGGGCCTACAGGAAGGATGGGGGCAATTTTTTCAGCGAGGCCTGTTGTGACAGGACAAGGGGTAATGGATTTAAACTAAAGAAGAATAGATTTAGACTGGATAGAAGGAAGAAATTTTTTACAATGAGGGTGGTCGAGCACTGGCACAGGTTGCCCAGAGAGGTGGTAGAGGCCCCATCCCTGGCAACATTCAAGGTGAGGTTGGACGGGGCTCTGAGCAACCTGATCTGGTTAAAGCTGTCCCTGCTCACTGCAGGGGGATTGGGCTAGGTGACCTCTAAAGGCCCCTTACAACCCAAAGCATTCTATGATTCTATGAGTATCCAAAGTAAAAAGGAAAAACCAGTTGTTTGAATGACAATAAAAAAAAGGTCCATTGATTTCAATAAATGCTAATTAAACAGCTTGTATGGGAAGGTTGCAGTTAAGAAGTCCAGCAATAAACACAGAAAAAGCAGCACAGAATATGCACAGATAACACTGAAATTAAAAATACAAAGAGAAAAGAATTCTTTCACCTTAATTATCTGTTCAAATGCTAGAGCAGACTGTAACATCATTGGCTTCTGACTCTCAATCATTTGTTGATCAATAGAATTATAAAAATGCGCCACCTGTAAAAATGGAGAGATTAAATTTAGAAGAACAGATAAAAATATTTATATGCTGATAAATGTAATGCAGGATATTTCTGAAAGTATTGCCCAATCAACACTATTAAGAAGTGAGAATTAATTATAGCAGTAAAACATTTACAAAAATAAAGTACTATACAACACTAATGTGATCCTATCTTCCTCTAGTGATGAATTCTAATAGCAAAAAAGACTGCTGCTTATATGTGTCTGAGGTGATTATACTTCACCTTAAGTTAAATCTAGCAATGGTGACGACAAGCTGGTCCATTTTATGACATTTTCCTTCAGTTATAATAATCAGAAACTGAGACTAAAACCAGGAGATCAATGAATTACTTGTCTTATTTCTGTATATTCATACAGTAACTTCACGTGACTTTAATACTATAATTCATTTGGTTTCAAAAGAAGACACATCACAAAATTGTAAAGCATGTCTTTATTTTTGTTCTCTTTTAAGGACTCAGTAAATTTGTTCAAGAAACAAGTCAGTTTTATACAGACAAACACAGAAAAAAGTTTAACCACATGGAAAAGATAATAGTCTAGAAATGTTCTACTACTAAAGCTGGGAAGTCAGAACAGGAAGTTATTATGACAATCTTATACCTGTTTGAGGATGACTGCCTGCTTACAGAACTTCTGTGCAGTGTTTGCAACATGCTGTATTTTAGCTGGTATAGCAAAACCAAGTGCTGATAGCTGACGTACTTCTCTTAGGAGAGTCACCAAACGATCTGAATAAAGTATGTTTAATGTTCCAAAAACATGATCCAATTCCATTACAGGACTATTAGCTTGGATGCTAAACCAAAATCAAATTAAACATATTACTGAATATAATTTGGTATCGATCCTTTCTTAGGTGCATTGTATAATAACATAATAAACAATTCTTAAAAGCTTGATGTCATTCTATTACATTTTTCTATGTTTATTAATATTTTAATTTACTCAGAAGTTATTCTAGTAACCTTTCACTTCATTCAAAGCCAATGAAGACAAGAAAAAATGAACAATGCCTACTGGTTTTGCTCACAAAGTTCTCCTGGCTTGTTACAATCATTAACATGTAACTCACAGTTAGACAGTATTTCTCAAAACCACTGGACCCATCATACTCTCTCAAGCTGGCACTTTACAGGCCCCAGCCTTCAGCACTGCAAAGGAGAAGAAATTCTCTGAGTGAACCAATCCAAGAACCAGGACTTGGATCAGTGGAACATTTTGGTATACACAATCAGATGCCAAGAAGAGTATCAGCCTATCTTTAGATTTTACTCCAATTTTTTTTTTTTTTTTCTACTGTGGTAATGCTTCTAACCACCATCCTTTCAGGCTTCTTTCATAAAAACTTGATCCTTACTTATTTTTTCACTTTTTTTCTCATCTTTTTCTACTACCCATATCCATTGCATTCCCCTTTGCAGTGAGCTACATCTTCTCTTCTCCTTTTAATTAATCTCTTCACATCTTTTAAAATCTCACAATAACAAAATTTTATGGTACTAATAAAATAGATGGCTGTTACATATTGGAGTGCTGAATCTGCTTATTTGTTACATTTGAGTGTTTTTCATAAAACAGAAGTTTACATGTAAGTATCAACTCCTGTATCCTCTGAAACTGGACAAACTCTTTTTTCAAAGAAAGTGTGGAACACTCAGAGATGCAGACAGAAGCTATGTGGCCAGTCAATTTAAAAAAATAATTGTTAAAATATATTTTAATATCCCATAAAGTAATTTCATTATTTTGGGGATCTCAATTCATGAGGTTCAAATGTATTTTCTTACCCTTCTTTCATCTGCTCTATTTAGACTGCAGAATTTCTTGTGAATAGCAATTTATTTGTTACTCTACATGTGTCATCTGTATATCACACCTATACTGTAATCCAATCTGGTTTCTAGACATTATCACTATACAGATTACAATGGATAACAAGTAGTAACAACAAGCAAACCAAGCATGTCTTTCATTCCAGGTGTTACTACAAACTGCAAGATTAGTTATTAAGTGTATACTTTGCCTGACCAACAAAGCCTGGCAGGATGATGAAATGATAATGAACTCTTCCGTTTTGTTTCTCCACTCATTCACAGTTCTGTAAAATTTTTTATTTCCTTCATCAAGTTCTATTGAATTACACCACACTACAGATTTCAGCATAAGCATTATTTAAACGACGATGTATTTACCAGAGTCCTGACTTGGGATTTGATAATTCTGACTGGATATTCCTAGACCAATCATCAAATTGTTCTTGTTCATATACTTTTAACTGTTCCAGAAAAGAGTCTGCACTTTGATGAAAAGCCTGAAATCCAGACAAGTCAGACAGAAGAGCCTCTGCAAGCTTGACAGCATCATCCACCTTAAACACAATCACAAAGAAAGGAAGCTTAACTTCCCAGTATTAATTAGAAAAGAAAAATTACTCAGCAAGCAGCACCACTGATTAGGAATCTTGCTTGTATAACTCTTGGGAAGTCCACAATTTTTCTGTGGGGAATTCCCCACAGAAATCTCAAATACCATGTTTTACGATCTATGATAATATTGTGCCTGAACAGTAACGAAATCTGTTACCTTCAGCTCCAGCTGCCGTACCCATACAATATTATTTACAACTTCAGAAAGGTTTTTGCCTGACAGGGGTCCAGAAACATCACCAGGAACACCATGGCATCGAGTTTCAAAGTCTGTCTGATAGTCTAACACAAGCAAAAGATTCATGTTAGACCAGACACCTAGTAGAACAAGCTTAAAATTATTATTGCAGTTATAAAAATATACTAGGGATACTGACACAATTCTAAAAGTAAATAAAGAATTCTAGTATTTGCAAAAAAACTAATGCAATTAAATACTTTTAAACACATTTTTACCGTTGACGTAATCTTGAAGTCTTGCTAGCAATGTTTCCCTTTCAAAAAGCAATTCTTGGCTTATATTTGGATGCTTTATCAGTTCCTTGTATTTCTGAAATGTTTGAAGAAGCTGGAATATGAAGTTTAAAAAAGTTATGTCTTTCTCCTGAAAAAAAATGAAACTTATTCTGACGCTACTCAGTAGTGCTGTTCATAAGTACTGTCTTTGGCTCTAAGTACTTATTCCTGTGCTCTGAACTGACTACTTAAGAATTCGATAACTTCATCTTTAGGAAAGTTTTCAGACTTCAACAATACCCATACCTGCTGAGGACTGTCCTGAATTTCTGAAATAAATTTCTTCAATTTGCTTGCTATTTTTTGTTCCGCTGGTGCAATAATTCTTTCATACTGAGAGACTGCTGCTCTCCATAATGGCTAGAAATAATGAGTTCATGTGTTAGTTTAGGACTATCCATATAAATCATAAAAAGTCACAGAAAGAATGTGAATAAATTAAAAATAAGCATTATACCTCTGTGTAAGGATTATAGTGTACAGGATTTAGGCCAGCAAAGGGTTCAAACACTTGGGCAAGATGTAAAGCATTTTGTTCTCCAGCTGGCAAAAAGAATGTAAGTTTTTCATGCAGTGTTCTAACAGTTAGAACCTAAAACGGAATAAAAATATTTGATATATCCAACGTATTTTTACATAAAACTTATATTTAGAAGCAAAAAGCACAAGCAATACATCCCATCCCTCTCCTTTTTACACAAAACTTTTGAAAGGCTCAGGCAAACACAGATTATGGAATGCTACCTGACTCTGAAAAGGCTGAAAAGTGTTTTAGTTCCCTTTTCTAACTTAAAACAATGTTGTTTAATTCTGTGTCTAATGAAATAAATGTGTATAATCCAAATCTCTACCTCATCAAGACGTTTGCCAAGTTTGGCTAATGATTCAGGGAAATATTTCTCATTTTTCCATGGATGTAGAGTATAACGTTGCCACAGTTGTCCCGTTAGGTACTCACAAGCTGACACCCACTGCTCACAAATCAAGATGCTAGCCTTTAGATTTTCTTTAACACTGTGAAAAGCATCCTCCCACAAATTCAAAGCTGCTAATTTTCTCTGAACATATCTACCTAGCGAGCCACCTAGAATACAAAAAAGTATACAAAAGCAGTGTTATGTTATGTTTGTTTAAAATAATTCCTTCAAACACCACACCACATTCCAATCACATTTTTTAAAAACTAGTGCAATGTCTTGATTTCAAACCACACAAATGTATCAATAACTGACTATTTTGTTTCAGATTCAATAAATCTCTTGCACATCTCCAAGTCAAACAGAGGTTGGTCCAACATCAGAAGCTGACGGATTTGGATTCTGGAATCGGCACACAAGCATCTGTCTTTAGCAGCAGTAATGGCAGTAGCTGGCTGCCCCCAGCAATCCTTCCACTCATGCACACACACATCTGGCAGCAGGAGACAAACTCACAGTCTTATGCCTGTCCCAGAACATGGGACTGCTGTCGAGAGAATAAGGGAAGCAACCTCCCTGCACGTCCTGCTCTCGCCTCCACGCAGACTGAATCAAAATTCAAATGGGGGTTTATGTAAATAAATTTTCTCCTCTGAGAGAAAGACAAGGTGTCAAACAGAAGCAAGAAAATTCCAGTCCACGGGGCAAAAGGTATCCAACTCCATCCTGTTATTATCTATCATCTTCCCAAGCATGTGTGAAGGCATCTACCAGAACCAGCTGAATTATTGGGAACTATAAGGCAAATAATATTCTTGGATCATAGTTACAAGAAGAAAGCACCTTAATGCTGTAGGCTATCAATCACTGGTGCCCTTAGGAGGAAGAAGGTCTCTTCTCAAGGATTCATTTTACTTTTTCTCAACTGTTCATTTAATACAGACTACATAAAGGTTTACCTATTACATCCAAGAGATTATGCATGCGTGGCTGTGGATAAGGATCATGTTCTGTTTGTCTCCACACTCCATCAACAGTATCCTTGGTAGTCTCCACCAGATCCACAACTTCAAATAATGAGAGACTATCCAAGTTGTAATAAACCTAGAAAAAAATATCCTTAATATGATTACTTTGCAACTAGTATTGTAGAAACATTTATACTTTTCTGATGCTGACAATTGCTATAGTTTCCTGGATTTTGTTGCTTAACAGAATATGGCAAAATCCTCTCAAAAAACAAGCATTTATGTAAGTTTATTCATGTGAAGAATGCATTGATATCTGAAGTGCTATTCAAGCAAGAGCTTTACAGGTGCCAAAAATTTTGCATGATAGCGTTTATTATTTCATCTGCATTTTCAGTTTTCCTTTTTATAATTTCCTGAGTCAATTTCTAGTTCACAAACTGTAGCATACTGTTGTACTTCTACAGCAGCGCTTAGTATTCAATGGTCAAATCTGCTCCCAATTAAATGTTGGCATTCCCCTGCACCATTGTCACTACAAACTACATGAATGTAATTTAAAGTAAAATTTTGCATAAGAAAAAATAACTAAATAGTTATGTATTCATATACTTGAAAAGAGTGTACATATACTGACAGATATTTCATAAGAAGAGTGGTTTTTACTAAGTCAACAAATATATCACTGATCACGCAAAAGAAAACATACTTTTGCAATGTCCTCAAACAGGTCTTTAAAATGAGCAGCTCTCTCTTTACTACACCATTTACTTCCATGATGAGCACATTCTATCCAGAACTGAAATTCATCTGTTGGTGTAAGTATAGCTGCAAATAATAACAGAAAGTGTTTAAATATGAAATACACAAATGGTCGCAAAATATTTTCAGTCAGTACATACTTTCTAAAGCAAATTTTTACTATATGGTTATGTAATTATCCTTCAACTTCTGACTCTGACTAGATGCAGTATCAAGTTCATACCAACAGATCAGAGCTGATCATCACTAATTCCAATCTACTCATCACAACCTGTTATATTTCACACTCTGCAGTCACTGGGATAATGAAGACTTAAAACTCAACCTGTAAATAAATTATTTACTCCTAATTTAATATTAATTATGAAAAACGTAACTGCAAAACAAACCTCGCACATCATCTTCACTGAATTTTGTTCCCGTGTAATTAGGATCTGACCTTCTGAGAACAGTACTCAAGCCAGTTTCAAGCTCACTTAAAAGTTTCTGGAGTTTCGGATCAAATGTTTTACTCCATCTCTCATCCTGCAATGAAAATGTCAAAAATTGTGACTCACATGATAGAACAATTACTATTTTCCTCCCATTAATCTTAAAAAAAAAAAAAAAAAAATCAGATAACAGCATTAACCAACCACATGGTAGGACAATGTAATAATTTATTCTTCTTCAAGTCAATGAAAAGCACCTTATTCTTTTCACTTAACAATTCAGAATAATACTGTAAAAAAATTTTTATCACAAAATCAAAAGTCAGGTGTTGGATTTATAACGGCACTCTGAAAATGTGATCATGATTCTTTGTTAACGACTTCTCTTAAATTGAATAAATTTGGAATCTACTTCTATAGTAGAATCTGGAAATTGCTAGAATCAAATATTAAAAGTTATTGTGGTTTTCTGAAATTATTTTATTATGATATACAAGAAATCAAAAATATTTAAATGCTGCAACTCTACTTCTTCAGCTTGTGAAATACAGCCATCATCACCGTTTTTGACAAAATCCACAAATGAAATATATTCTTTAATGGAACAGAAGGAAAAGCCTCAGAACATTTAAAAAAAGCAAAACTATGAAAAATGCAGCTGTACAAATTAATCTAGAATCTAGCACACCTATCTGCCGCATATTATGGAATATAGTTTGCATGATACAGACCTATGCATTTCATATAAAACATAAGAGTATCTAAAACAAGAAAAGGACACAAGACCGGAATCACTGGTGGAAAGGAGGTAAGGAGCTGCTGTCTCCATTAACCACCACCGCCCAGTGTATTCCACGTTTCTAGTCCGGCATATGTATGACCAGAATCCTCCTCTCATCGCTACTGATAGGAGGTGAAGTACCTTCTTTAACTTAGAACTATCACCCAACATTTAAGCTCTTAAAATATTTTATTTTTAAAACATCAAATATCTATCTCAGGATAGTTAACATCCTATGGAATTTCAATGTTTCAATGTAAATCTACAGAACATTTAAATCGGTATACTGCTCACCTTCAGTAATACTGGAGCAAAAACCTGTCGTACAGCTTGATAAAGGGTGTTAATTGGTGAATCTAGCATAGATGACACAAGAATATTACTATGAAGATTATCTTCTGTAATTACGTCAGGCCGCAGCTTAAAGAACACCAACATATTATTCATAGAATCAGTAGCTTCGATCTGTAATAATCAAGAAGACAGGATTTGTTTAGAAAACTGTCATTGACTGCATATTATACTAAATTACATACACCATTTACACAAATTATTTACATCAAGAAAAAAAGTATAAAATACTGTATTACTCCCTATGTGCTCTGATAACATTCTGGTAGTATCTGATTTGCACAGATAATGAAGACTTTTATTATACTCATTCCTGAGTTCATAGGAACCTGAATTCCAACATCAAATATGTAATGCCTTTTTCATTACAAAATATCCATAGATACCATAATTACTTACACTATTTTGATTTTGAAAACTCCACTTACCACCTTCTGAGCGCAAACCAGAAACTCCATCTTGTGCCTAGAGAAAACTGAGCATAAAGTCTATCTTTTTTATCACATTTTTACACTACAATACTTTGGGAATATTTTTTTAAATATTCAGTATTGTTCTCCTGCGTCTGTAAATACATAACTCTATTGTAATTCATAGATTTCTCAAGGACAGAGAAAGGCACGCTCCTTCATCAGTAACATCATAAGCTGTAACATGACTCTTGTTCCCTTCACAGTCCAACTTATGGGTAAAGTTTGAAAAATTGCCATAAAACCAATTATTTAAACTATTTGTGGCCGAGAATTCATAAAAGAGAAGAACATTATTAAACATTTGATAAAACAATAACAAAAAGATACGCTAGCTGAAATCCCAAATTCTGTGCAACCGTAAACATCTGTGAATTTTTTTTCTGTTAAAAGAAACAGAGGTCTAGTAAGAACAGCTCTCAATTTTACTGGGCAGTATCAGTTTTACTTTCTTATCAAGTCTTTAGCCCAACACCTAAAGACATCATTTCACTGAGATGACAGGTATACATTATAGCCCCAATATGCACCTGATCTTCCACAGCTGCTGACAGTGTCTTTGTATATTAGACAGTGGCTCAGCAGCACACCCCAAAACCTGGTAGATGTAGATGTTCATTCTTGCATGAATATAGCATGCACTAGACTTCACAGACTACGCAGACGATTACACCAGGAGGTGTGTAAGTTACTGGCCCACACAGCAGTTCACCTTAGCAACCCATTACACCAGGCTTCAGTGCAGAAAAGAACCTGTCACTGGCATAACAGACACCACGTCCCTGGTCTCACAGCAGAACGACAGGATGCACATCAAGACCCGCACTTTGCCTGTACACTCTATGTGGCAGGCACCACAGCGTGTCCCGATTACATGGTGACATTTACCACGCATCACACCCCACGGTATCACTCAAGTTAAGTCCAGTTGGCAGCCGGTCACGAGTGGTGTTCCCC